GATTTTGTTGTAAAAGCGTATACATTGCCACATAAATGAATTTACTAATTCTGTGGAGTCTAGTTTTAGTAACATTAGTTGATTGCTTCGTTGTTCTAGTGATTGTAAGCACGACCATTTGTGGTTTTGGCTTAAAGTTGGTAATCTTCGAGAAATTCCCAGATTTTAATAGGGAAGTAAGCGGTGATAACGTGACCCAGAAGATTTCTTCCGCGTACAACTTCCTTCTGCAATCAACTACCACCAGTAATTTTTCCAGACTAATAGAACTTAGGGACCATCAAGAAAAGAGCCTGGTCTTTTTTTAAATGTCAGCAACGCAACTGAAATCACCAGGGATACACTTGTGTTCATAGGCTATAGTATATTCACTTATTATCAGGTGAGTCGCATGATCTTTTGCCTCTTCTTCTATAAAAAGAAGAACGTAAAAATGTTCTACTGCATGTGATCTCTCTGTAATCGTGTTGAATTATCATTCTGTTGGACAATTATATTGTATAAAAATAGTCGTATTGTTGTTCTTTATCTGACTACTCTTTCATCTGACTGACTGAATCTGACTGAAATTGCTGACTACTCATGTTGCAGAAAGGATTTGTCTTAATTGTCACGCTTTGTACGGGCGATTGAGCAGCGCAGTACTATACTTTTACTGAAAACGATGAATTCCATTTTAGTCCTTACGGGCGACATTGATGACGCATCTGCATTTTAATTCGTAGTTGAGAGTAGATATCAACGTCTATGGGTCACTACTTACCACTGACTGTTTGCTCGATTGTCAACGATATCCTGTACCTTGGTCGCTGTGGTATAAACCACTCGGTTGTGCTAACATCTTATTTTATAAAACAAATGACAAATAAAGTTACAATAAACCTTATGACAAGTGGCTATCACAGTCCATGGATACCTAAAGCTAACTTAAAACACAAAAGGCTACAGTTGCGATTTCACCTGTTAGGATTAAGATTTAATGACAAAATTGGAAATTACTGCTATTTTTCTGCAGAAAAAGGTATTAATGTGCTACGTACCAAGATGGAAGGCTAAAAAGAAAGACCGAAAAAGAGTTTTAGGAGCTAATAAAATCATTTTTCTCAGGTCGTGAATCTTTCTGGCACTTCCACAGGACGTGTTTTCAAAGACTGCGTGTCAAAAGGATTATCATAAGATAGCGTGATACTTAAACTCGAAGAGCGTATTTTATTTTATTTGATTTGTCGGAATGGGTTTTTGTTTTGCTTTTTTGACTAACGAAAACAATGATATATTTGTTTACAATTTTTTTTCATTTCATAGCTTGTTTTCTCAGACTTAATAATAAACATTTTAAAAATGTATAAAATTATATTTTATTTATACAATATTATTATTATTACATGGCAACGCAGGCTTGACAGCATGTATTAACGTGGCGTCATTTTGATTTGTAATTCAGTTCAGACAGACATTTTTTTACTTATACGTATATAGATAATTTTAGAAACGTTAAATATAAAAATAAATTGACAATATATTAAAACGTGATATACGTATCAACAACAAATGTAAGCGCTTGAAATTTACAACGTTTTGGAGCCAACATGCCATTAAAAAAGCTTAGAAAAAACTAACCTTTTTCATTATCTATGATCGTAGGAATATATATTGAATTTTGGCAATGGCCTACAAAATGTAGACATAAGTACACTTAAATATTATAAAAAAAGGAAACCGTATACCAAAAATATTATTACGAGCTTGAGGTTCGTGACAATAAAAACTTTCGATTGAATTACCAAAATTTACACTTTACACTCAATTAAAACTTAAAACACTAATAATTAACCACACTGATTCACTTTATTTCGCTCCGAAGCTTCGCTTGTCTCGCCAAATTCAATACTGCCCCGACCGCGTCTTGCAGCGTCTTTAAATACACATTTTTCACCGAAACGCAAATCAAGTAAATACGCGCGCCAACCGACCAGGCGCAGAAAGTTCTAGTGTAGGGCTTCTAGAAAGCTTAGTTCTTCAATTCGATACTAGATGGCGTTGTTGGTCGAAAGTTAAGATTGACATTTTCTAGGAAGCCCTCCTCGCTCTCGTCACCGACAATAGATGGCGCTAGTGCCAGGTACATGACGTCAACTTAGGCGCGCAACAATATTTTTAGTAAAATTCTTAAATAAATTTCTACAAGGTAGTTTTTGAAGTCGGTGTTAAATTAGTGTAATGAAGAATTAAAGACCTCAAATTAAAAATAGTTGTGTGGAAACTAATTATTCTTTTTAATTTTTATTTCAGGTTTTTACTTTGTGCTAAACGTTTCAATTATTCCCTTTATTAAGTTGACTTTACCACAAGCCCAAGTTAACGACTAAGATTTCATCTGAATAACAATAAACGTTTTAGTATTATTTTTATAGCATTTTATTTAAGTTTGAAACTTTTGCTGCAAAACTAAATGGGCCCACCCCTTCATTTTTAATATAAAAGTAATCAAAAAGCTTACTTCAAAACTAATCTACTCCTTAACTGTCTCAAGATGATAACATCATTTATACTTGTACAATAACTAAACAAAAGGAAAATTATAGGTTTTACCAAGTAGTATTTTCCTTTCCTCTCTATAGAGACGAAAGCCTGTTCTTTGATCGAATCTGTTACTGTCGAAAACAAAAATGTACGTTAGTTTACTTTCCGATATTTATTTTCCCTCCTATTTTTTGTTCCTTTATTGAGTTCTGGCCAACGATTATATTATGATTCCGTTATTATATAAAAACTAATATAGATAAGTAATTCTCAATTTTAAGATAAGTGTATATTCCTATAATATTATTTACTTCCACCCATCTATTACAGCCTATCAAAATTCCACTGCTCAATATAGGCCTCTTCCATTGATGTTTATATTTGCCATAGCTATCACGCTTAGCAGGAAAATTAGCAACATCATTGTTTTTATTACTTTGCCTCTACTTTTTCTGTTTATTTTCCCTCTGTTGGCTCTTACGATACCTGTATGGATGATATGAGGTAGTGAATTCTTTTACGCCGCCAATACATGGCATAATGGGATAGGGTACCGCACGAAGGTGGCTGCTGGTGTATTTATTTTTTATTAAGTTTTCTGATTTGCCTACTACTATTTGTTTTTTTATTGTAAGAAGAGGTACATGTCTTAGTAGATAGTAAGTAATCACTGTCGTTCATATAAATCCGCAGCACCATGGGAATTGCAGGTGCGTTGTCAGCCTTCTCGAAAAGAGTAAGCTGTTTTATTGAAGGTCCCCAACAGCCAGTCTCAATAGCCCATCTATCTCTTACTGGAAGTTAAAATGTCTAATATTGGTATCTATAGTTAAATAATTTTGTTTCAATAGTCAAAGATAGTTGTAAATATTTAACCATCACATTTAACCATCTCTCGGTTGGCTTACCGAATACCCGAGTTAAGAGGGTTCATAGAAAAAAAAACCAGCGTATTTCATGTGAAGGTCATCACGTAAATATAACTAATATTTGTCATTTATTTTCAGTGCATTGTGAAGAGTGAACATTTGGCAATAGATGGCATTGGGGATAGTGCATATCCCTGTACTTCATATTTTGACACCACGTATTTGATACAAGATAAATATTAATATTATTTTATTAATATTTTATTTAAAAAAAATCATGGGTATAAAATAAAATACTTTCTAACTTTTCTTTAGATGTTGCCATGGAGCAATTAAACAAGCTTGAGCGTCTTCAGAATTTATCCATTCGATTCATATTTGGTTTACGCAAATATGATCATGTATCCCAATTTCAAAATCAACTCAAGTGGCTCCCTATTCGCCTTCATTTTCATTTTCATATATGTACTCTCTTTACTTTTTTGTGTACTGTTTGATCCGAAATCTCCAACGTGTCCCTTATGGAACAATTTCGCTATCGACATGAATTTCATAACCGCAATTTGCGTTAAGTGTATAGCTTGGCTTTGAATACTCCTTACAACGTAACTTCATTTTATAATAAATTATTTACTTCACTAGCAACGCGACTTTGGAATTCATTACCACTTAACATTCAAGAAGCGCTCGAAATCTTTACAGTCTTTTGAAAAACTTCTTAAGAAGTATTATTTGAAGTTCCCGTCATAATAATAAATTATAATATGTATTTGCCTCTTTTCAAAAATACTTTTTTTTGTTAAATATAGTATATATTTGAATATATTAAATTAAAAATTTTTGTACATATATATATATATATATATATATATATATATATAATATAAATAGTGTGTATGTATGTATATATATAATAATTAAATATTGTATATATTGCTAATATATTTTTATAAATATTATTTTTAATAATATTTTTTCCTAATTATTTCATATTGCACGTTGCACCTTATCCGTCAAAATATAAAATTATAATGTCCTTTTATGTTCGGTTTGTCAGGCAGAAATCGCTTAAAGCGATATGAACGCCGTTTGTAGTCATAAGTTTTCCGTTATTGTAATAACTTTGTTCAAATGCAATAAAGAGTTATCTCTCTCTCTATCTCTCTCTCTCTCTCTCTCTTTTCAGATGTTTTGGTGTGTTGCAAAAGGCGCTTTCATGTACTCTCTCTAAAAACCCGTGTAGCTATCCAGACAACACAGGCCATTATTATTGCCACCTCTGTTTTACACAACATCTGCCGATTAAATAATGTAAGGGATATGGATCCAGAAGTTGCAGTGCCACATGAATCAGGTGATATAGAATAGGTATTTTAGTGTGTAAGTGTTTAATTATATTAGAATTTCTGTGTAAATAATGTTAAATTATACAAAAGTAAATATGCTTTATTTTAATAAAAATATTATTTCAAAAAGGTTAATATAAATCAATGTATAATAGATTATATTTTAGAGTAAACTCATAAAAACATTACACAATTTATAAAAGAACACACCTTATTGTCACTATATACACAACCTCAGCATTAGCGTTATATTAATCACAGTTCACTTATTTAATTCTTCGGCTTCTAATTGTAGTTTTATTTTTTCAAGCTTAACTACTTCAGTTTTGGCTTCAAAATAAGCAGCCATGGCTAATTTCTTTCTTATCTGAGCCCGTTTCAGCTCTTCAGAGGGCTTTTGGCGTTTCTTTACTGTGAAAATAACAAAACATAGTTAAATTCTCATATTTTACACTATCCTAGTTTGATAGATTTAATGAGTGATGACCACAGAGATCAGGCACAGGAGACGGCATTAAAACATTTTGGTAACCACTACTATCCAAACTACATTATAAATCACCCAGAACCAACTGTACTAAATGCCTATTTGACACATTGGCTTGTTCATCAAACAATCGGGTGATCAGCCTTAAGATATCATGATGAACCAAAAAAAACACAAAGTTGTGAAAAACCTGAAACATGCATTCACACTACTAGCCCATAGAGACGGTCTGTTTTGTTTGTTTTTTTTTATAGAAGAGGGGGCCAACGAGCATGCGGCTCATCTGATGGTAAGTGACTACCACCACCCATGAACAACCGCAACCCCGGGGGCATTGCAGGTGCGTTACCGGCCGTTGAGAAAAGATTTAGCTTTTTCTTCAAGTTTCCTAAGTTGCAAACAATTCCAAAGTGAGGTTGTACGAGGAAAAAACTCCTAGTAAACACACAGTGGTCGACCACCAAGGATCCAGATGGTGAAGATGGTATCGTGAATTTTGACGCGATTTGCGTTCGTGAAATTTGGCGGCCGGAACTAATCCGAACAATTTCTCATGACACTCCACATGGTAGATATGATAGAAAACACAAAGGGATGCAACATCCCTACGCAACGCCAGTAAATCGAGCCGACCTGAAAGAACTCAGTCGTCGACAATTCTAATCGCTGTGCGCTGGATGCGGTCAAGTAGAAGGAGCTGGCACTTGGGTGCCTCGGCCCAGAGACGAGAACAGTATTCCATATGGGCTGAACTTGCGCTTTATAAAATTGCAAGCGATGTGCCGGCATGAAACACTGTCTCGCTCTGCTGAGCACGTCAAGCTTTTTTAGAGGCCAATTTGGAGGGGACTCCAAGTGACCACTAACTATACACTATTCGATATGTCGACGTCGAGGATTCCCATGCTGGCTGACACAGCAAGTTAATGCGCAAACTTGTCTTCTGGGTATTGAATTGAATTAGATTTAGCCGCCCCCAATCCCAGACTTTATTTAGCAAAGACTCGACTTCAGACACAAATTTGTTCCGGAACTCGGTGACGATTTCCCGATAAATATTTGCACGGCCGGTATATAAGGCATCACCAGTTCTGTCATCTGCATAGCAATGAATGTTACCAATTTGAAACATATCATTGATATACAGAACTAACAGCATCGGTGATAGCACGCATACTTGTGGATCACCAGCGTTAGTAGGCTTGTAATCAGAGCATGCACCATCTACTACAACCTTAATGCTCCGATTAGCAAGGAAACTAGTGATCTAATGGCACAATTTCTCAGGTAGCCCATAGGAAGGGAGCTTTGAAAGAAACGTTTTGTTTCAGTCACGGTCGAAGACCTTTGCTATGTCCAAAATAACGGCCAATGCCTCCCCCTTGGACTCTAATGATTTTGCCCATCTACGAGTCAGGTAGACCAGAGGATCACCAGCTGATCAACCATGACGAACCGTATTGGCGGTCACTAATCAGCTGGTGATCCTCATGGCCTGGCAGTTTGTGATGGACTCCATTATTTTGGAGAACAATGAGGTGATGGCGATAGACATGTCGTTGTATGGGTCTGAACGGTCACATTTTTTAGGGATCGGGTGGACCAAAGCTATTTTTCATGGATTGAGAACTACGCTTTGAGAGTAGAACTACGTGAAAAGACGCCTTAAAATCAGTGCCAACTCCGGAACACACGTCTTCATTATAATGAGAGGGACTCCATCAGGCCTACTCGACTTACTGACGTCTACGGAGAGAAGTGCTTTGCGAACCGAGCGCTGTGTAAGCTGCACATCTGGCATGGAGCACTTATACCGCGGATGGTTGGTTATGTATTCGCTCGGCATCGAGAGTTCAGTTGGACGCAAAGATAGAACCTAACAGTTCTGCTTTCACCTTTGCGACATGGGTTTGTGAGTCTTCCTCTCTGAGCAGAGATGGAAGAGATGACCACGGGTTCCAGAAGGAAGGCGAACTATCTTCTTATCAATTCTGCCAATGTGCTTAGGCCTTGCCTTAACAATGACTTGTTTAGTAGACTACTAACAACTGAGGTAAAATATGACTTAGAGTGTTTGTTAGGATTATTAAGAATAAATCTTTTTGTTGTGAAATTTTTCTCACTATGACCACCACACTCAGCACTACCACCATCTCCCATCACCAAATCACTATTAATGGCCTCTGAATGCTCCGACTAATATTGTAATACAATGAGTTCCACAACCGCATATTCGATTCATTTCTTTTTCTCAGACACCACCAAATTCCACAGTGAACCCCGCGCATGTTGCTCCTAACATAAATTTTACACAGTTCATTGCTTCATAGGGAGGGATGTATATTTTTCCACCACCGGTCTGCAAACAAAAACATTTAAATAGAAATAATACATATTAAACCGTTTTAAGAAGATTAGGAATATCTAACAAAATGTTACGAAATATTCGATGTATGTACTTATTACAAACCTATAATTTATTTTATCTTATTATTTCCTTGCGTTAGCTTGCAGACTTCTTTAAGTTTTCTCACTTTAAACGTAGTTGCTCAGGACACCAAAATTCTCCCGCCATCGCACTATACTCCTGCGCTATATATTTCCAAGCTTCTTCTTTTAATTTATAATTTGCATCATTCGTTGCCTTAGTAGTAATTACTTTTTGCTTGAAAATCAAGTCAAGCAGGAAGAGTATTTCGTCCTTTTCAAAGGCCCTTTCCTTCATCTGAAACAAAATTTTATAGATGCCTTACACTTTTGGTGCGAATTTAAAAAGCTTTTTTCAGTTACATTTCTGTAGATGTAAATAACACGGAAAAGAGTTCACAATACTTACAGTATTTTGTTAAGCCATGTTTATGCTTATCGCTGATAAAATACCGCAACACATAAAATTTAATAAAGCTATTTCTGCCGAGGTTCTTGATGTTTGATGTGATGTTTGAAAACACAAACTGTCAATGTCCATCTCTAGTCAGGCAAGTGCCAATGTGCTTGCTTAAAACACTAATAATTAACTACACCGATTCGCTTTTTTTCGCTCCGAACCTTCGCTTGTCTCGCCAAATTCAATACTGCCTCGATCGCATCTTGCAGTGCCTTTAAATACACATTATCAACGAAACATCCAGAATATTCAAGTAAATACGCACGCCAATCGACTAGGCGCCGAAAGATCAATTATAGGTCTTCTAGAAAGTTTAGCTCTTCAACTAGATGGCGCTGTCGGCTGAAAGATTGGTTATGTCATTTTCTGGAAAGCTATCCTCGCTCTGTTATCCGACACTAGATGGCGCTAGTGCCAGACGTCAACTTAGGCGCGCAACACTGCCCCCTCCTAAGACATGCTCGTCTCGAGCATTATCGGCCCCATAATAACGCGTCAGGCGATCCACATGGACGATCTTAGGAGTCCCTCTTGCGCCTTTCTGTATCCGGTAGGTTACATCGTTGATCCTGGTTACAATCCGGTACGGGCCGTCCCATTTAGCTTGAAGCTTAGGAGATTTCCTTTTGCTGCGGACTGGATTGTGCAACCACACTAGTGAACCTTCGTCGAACCCTTTGTTGTTCATTTTGCGGTCATACCGGGTTTCCATCTTTTCAGACATTTGCTGGCCTGATTGTCTGACGTGCTCATAAATGCCATTCATTTTGTTCCGCAAGTCATTTGCATAATCGGTTATACTGCGTGGGGCATCAGGTGGTATTCCGGTGATCAGGTCTGCAGGCAGCCGTAACTCTCTTCCAAAGTTTGCAAAACCTGGTGTCACTGCTGTACTTTCATGAACAGCGCTTCGATATGACAATAAAACAGTTGTATTTGCTTGTCCCAATCTCGTTGCCGATTGCCTACAACTTTTTCTAGGTACCTCTCCAATGTCTGATTAAATCGTTCTAACATTCCATCAGATTGCGGGTGATAAGTAGTCGTTCTTGTTTTATGAGTACCCATAACTCGGCAAGTTTCCTGGAATATTTGAGACTCAAAATTCCTTCCTTGATCGCTGCGAATCTCTAAAGGTACTCCAAAACGACAGAAGAATTTATGAACTAGTTTATCTGCAACTGTTGAAGCTTCTTGATTTGGAATGGCGAAGACATCTGGCCACTTAGTGAAGTAATCCAACACAACCATGAAATACATGTTACCGCTTTCACTCTCCGGAAACGGCCCCCCAAGTCAAATGCCACGTCAATGGCTATTCTCTCCCATGGTGCACCAACATTGTACAACTTCAACGCACGTCTACTACGAGTCTGAGGTCCCTTTACAGCCGCACAACTTGTACATTTGCGACATCAGTCCTCGACAACGTGCCGACAGTGGACCCAGTAAAACCGTTCTTGGATCTTCAGTAAGGTTCATTTAACTCCCAGATGGCCTCCTGAACAATCATTACGGTACAGCTATAGAAAATCCGGTACTTTAGTTTTAGGGAAAACCATTTGCAAATGACATCTGTCTCCCCGAACATTTTCCCATTTACGGCACAGAACTCCATCCTGAAACAGCAAGCTGTCCCACTTCGCCCAATAGCTTTTAGTGGTCGAACTCATCGCTGAGACGTCGCTCCACTAGGGATTGGGAGCACTGGCCTTCATCCATTGCAGAATCGGCTTAATGTCCGGATCTACCTGCTGTGCACGTTATAAGCTGTCCTTCCACTCGTTGCTGAGGTGGTCTGTCCTGAGGATCCTCAAGGATACCACTTCCTTATTCTCTTGCCTAGTACAATGTTTGCAATCTTCAGGACTAGGTCTTCTTGACAATGCATCTGCGTTGCCATGAGATTTCCCGCTGCGATGTTCGATCTCAAAGTCGTATTCCTGCAGTAGTTCAATCCACCTCGCAACTTGTTCTTCTGGATTTTTAAACTGCAATAGCCATTTTAGTGCAGCACGGTCAGTTTGTAAGTGAAAT